GTCTTCTCCAAGTCATGTACCATGGGTCACCTGATGATTCAACTTGAAATGCTTCTGCAAAATACTTCATGCTCTCTCCAACTCAAAGTCACCGAGAGAAACCTCAACACCAGTAGTAATTCTTAGTCCGGTTTTAGCTAATGCAGGAGCAGAAACGAGTATGGCTTTTAACACTGCAGTAGCTCGATCCAAATTTGTCTGCTGATAGTTCTTGTCACCGCAAATACTATCCAACGTATTTTTAATAATTTTGAAGAGATATTCATTGTCGTAATTGCATTTAAAGCCGTTAATATTTTCGTCCGTTTCGTTAAATTCTGCTAAATTAGATTTCCAGACTTTTCCTTGATGCTTCATAAATTTTTTGTTTGTTTCTTTGTACAGAGCGATGGCTTTTCTAATATCATCAAGAAATTGACAAGTGAATAGAAATTTACGCTCACACATACGCTCCAGTATGATGATAACGGTTCGTAATTGCCATTCCAATTTAATGGGCGCCTCTTCCGGAAAAACTTTATCAGTCTTTTGAGGATACAGACTCTGCATGGCCGCTATCAACATCTCTGCTGATACAGACCTTCCTTCATACTCAAGGATATATTTGAGAGCGTAAAGATTCTCTGGGTATTGTATGTCGTCTAACAATACCCTAATTTGCGCATCTGCTGAGGTATGTCCTTGTTCAATCAGATTGTGTACAAGTTTTGGTGCTGATGTAAAAATTGAGTTTTCGATTTTCTATAATGTAAATGTGATGGTTAGCAGTTGGTGATGAATGAATACGTTTAATGCATGACAAGTGCATTATTTGTACCTCATATGCCATTGCAAGAATGATCGCTCTCTCCGCTTAAACGACAGACTGATAAGAGATTTAAAGTTTGGTTGTGTGTCACGTCTACTTGCCTTGTGGAACAAATACTGCAGATAGATTAGATCGATTGGATCATCGTCGTGCAAATATCAAACTTTGAACTATATTAGTGTTAGAGTACATTATCTTCGTTATCGCATCTTGTCAACTTATTAACGCTAAGGGCGGCTTTTATTCCGCAAGTAGTAAGCAATCTCAAATATTGAATTCGTAACAGATAACTTCTTGATCTTGTTTCAATTTTGAAATTTTATCATTATGTAACCATACGAATTCTCAAGAAGTAGGAACAATAAACTTTTTAACATTATTGATGCAAATTTTTATACTTATATACAATTGATGGATATTCTTATTGACATAAATAATATCTAAGATTACATCGACAAATATCATAGCTTTTGCTTTTAAATAAATAATCTTAAGTACAGAAACAAAAAGTCTATTTATGCAGCTTATGCAACTTGATTTATTATTGTATGGTAATGTATTTCCAATATCTTGATTGATGGCTTGTAAGTTAATGGTTTCCGTATACTTTATGCCCCAACAAAGTTTACTTTTTAAACATTTCTAATAATAAATGTTATCGCCTATACACTAATTCTAAGTAATTAATTTGTCATAGGCTTTTGTTTTATAATCTACGTAACATGTATATATTAACGTTAATTCTCATTAATGTCTACTGTAAACCAGTAAACTTTTATTGTCATCAAGTTTAAAGTAAATTGACTAGTCAACAATTAATTACTATTTACTTAAAATTCTTGAACTATTCGATAAAAAAGATTGGCACGAGTTGGCTATATTAAATTAATTAGGTTGCGGGTTATTCGAATAACTAATATACATTACGTATGAGTGAATCTGAATCCAGTAAGTTAATATCCATGTAAGTAAAATTATGTGTGCTTAAAAAACGATAGTAGTCTTGATAATTATTGACTTAATAACAATTAGTTAATTAACAGTAACGTCTATCAATTATAGTTCTAGTCATAATTACAAATTATTACCGACATGGTTACGTTTACCGCCAATTCGTTAGTGCCAAGCTTTGATGACTACAAGCTGAATATTTTAAAGTATGCATTTATCCATTATAATAATAGTATATTGCACTAAAGTATAAATAGGCCATCCCTCTCCGGGTATAAGCATTTACGCTCAATTACTAGCGATGAATATCTATATCACTACTTAATTTATTTACATAATACGTCTTTGTTTGTTTGCAATAATTGGGTCATGAACAATCAGTTACGCTATATAGAGTGGCCAATGCTGAATCATTGTAAATGTAATATCTTATTGTGTAATAACAAAACGCTTTTCAAGAAATTCGTTGTTGTCATATCGTTACTCAATATATTACATAGATGCACTCCTTGAATCGAAATACTAATAACCAGAGTCCGAAAAAGCACTCGACTCGATCATTAAATATGAGATAAACACTCTAAAGATAAATCAAGTGTGGTCGTTGTGTTAACGAAGTTATCTTTTGATAGTTCTTTTTCAAGTTTGCCAAGAACAACATTACACAATAGCTCTCCCGATCATCTTGCATGCATGCTACTATTCAGTAACGTATCACCTTTTACGGTATTGTTACACAACAGAATCTAAGAATAAACGAATAATTTCTTAATGATGTTGCGTGATAAGAAATAAAAAAAGAAATGACCCCCTCCGGCTCATTCGAATCTAGAAAGTTTGTTTTTGGAATAAGTATCTTCACAGAGAGAAAATCTTCAGACACACATTTACTATTTTTGTCATGCTAACCAGTTTTATTATTCAAATTACGAATTAATATTAGAGCGATTGCTAAAATTAGCAAAAAGTACTTGAATGTTACGATATTTCTTAATGTGTATTGCCTTCTAAATGCACCCCTTGCCAAAACGACCATAAACCCTTTTTGTTTGTAACAAAAAAAAATTGTAATGTGACGACAAAATAAATGGGCAAATCACATTTAAAGCACTTGCTCATGCTGTTTATTTTTTGAAACTCGGTGACAAAAATTTAAAAGCACGCCATCCCTGCTTCAGTAAACATGCGGTGGTGTAAAGGACTGGCTTGTGCAAGTCAGTGCAAATTTATAGTTTTTCTCCTTTATGAATGATTGAGCACGTGGGCAAAATGCTCAAAGCGATTAGTTTTCTTTTATCGTATGATTTGATTGTGCAACCAATATACAATATACAATGATTGGAAGATTTACTATCGGCTGATCATAAACTGAATATAGTACAGGGCAATGGTGATAGGACTGTTGCTGTCTCATTTATTATCAAATCGATAACCAGTTTATACAATGAAAAACTATAACTTTTCCAAGTCAAACAATACTATAAATTCTTCAATAACTTGATGCCAAGAAACGTATGTTTGTGATATCATTATTATATGGCGTGCATGCAGTGTAACATTATGGACATCATGACTTTACTTTGACAAGTTAAGATATACATCACCCTATAATTCTAAAATTATCAGAGACCGTGATTATCAATTTCTAAATATAAGCCAACGACTAACTGGGGTTTGTGAACACAGCTATTTATAGAGATGGAAACTTTTCCATATTAAAGCATACATACTGTACATATAATAATACATATATAGACGGTTTAATTATCGTCTCGACGGTCTAGTTCACTTTTGTGTCCGTTACATTTCATAAAACAGAGAGCAACGCACTTAAGAACCCCACTCCTTCACCAACTTCACTATTTTCCGTAATGAGTCGTAAACTACTTTCATGCTTTATATCTGCTTTAATTTTCACAGTAGCTTGCGTTGATGCACAATGGAATGTCGTCGGCAAGTGAGTATACAATGAGGTGGATAGAAGATGTAGGCTGCGAGTAAAACAAAGCATTGAAAAGCATGGATAATTAACACTTTTCTACAGGTCGGGGGTCGCTGCTATGCACGCTATGATGATGACACCGACGACAATACTAATCATCGACAAAGGTGAGGCGAACGAATGACTGAATTAGTTTGTATAAATGTTTTTATTTTTCGTCTGACTGCATTTCCCGGATCGTTCTTCAATTCTCAACAGCTGAAAACAATCCCGACGCAATATTACCTGACGGTACAACGACATGGGCAGCCGAATATAATCTCGCAACAAATAAATTCCGATCATTAAAATTGTCCACCAACACATTCTGCTCAGCTGGAGCAATGTTTGGTAATGGTACATTTCTTTCGACTGCCGGTGGTGAACCAAGCAAGGTTGTCACTGCAGCCGATGGTTACCGTGGCATTCGTTACTTCCAACCATGTGAAGACGGCACCTGTCAGATCATCGAAGTTCCTAGTTTGCTGAGCAGTGCTCGATGGTATAATACAATGGTTACGATGCCATCCGGTGATATTCTCAACATTGGTGGTTCTACCGTGTCAACTGGTGCCAATTCCGCAAGCAAGAATAATCCGACGTTTGAAATACATAGTCCCAATTCAAATAACCAAGCGTTCCAAATCCAGTTTTTAGTCGACACGTAAGCGCATTCTTTATGCAACAATATTCCAATTATTTGTGTGGTTTTAAACCGTTTGTTTGTTTGTTTTTCCTGAACAGCCTCCCGTATAACCTTTACCCGTTTGTCCATGTAATTCCGAACGGGGTATGGCAAGGCTACTATTTTATTTTTGCAAACAAAGCTTCAGTAATATATGACATTACAAAAAACGTAGCAGTTCAAACACTTCCTGAAGCGCCGGGTGGCATTCGTTCATATCCGTGCACTGGAGGAGCGGCTCTGCTTCCGCTTGATTACGTGGATAATTACAATCCTCAATTCCTTGTCTGTGGAGGACAAAGCGTTTTCAACCAGTTTACTAATCCTGCCGAGAATACGTGCGCTAGAACGAACCTTGGTTCTCCAAATCCGACATGGGAAGCTGACGATTTTGGAGGCGTACCCAGGGTCATGCCTGATGTCGTTCATCTTGCGGATGGTTATAATGTGCTGTTCTTGAATGGAGGACAAGTTGGACAAGCTGGATATATCACCGGTGGAGGCACGCTCTTGTCTGATAAACCCGCGTTTACGCCAGTTCTCTATAGTATGAATAAACCTCTGGGACAACGATGGACTCAACTTACCGCAGCAACTATTCCTAGAATGTATCACTCGGTTGCCACTTTAATTCCTGATGGCTCGGTCTGGGTGGCTGGAAGTAATTGCAATCAGAACTACAATCCAGGTGGCCCGTACCCTACTGAGTAAGTGAATTTTACATTGATTCTGGTTTTGTCAAACTATTCACTAAATACGTCATATCCATTACATTAGATACCGTGTCGAAAACTTCGTACCACCATATCTTTCGGGCAACGCACGCCCACAGATAACAGCGTTCAATAATCAAACGTCACTTAATGCATCTCCCATACGAGTGACTTACAATGTGGGCATTCCCGTAACCTACACTCTTACCGGAACTCCAGGCACAATCACAGCCACTATAGTACAACCTGGTTTTCACACCCATTCCCAAGGAATGTCGATGAGAATCGTTCATCTCCAAATTACTAATATTGCATCGTCTGGACAAAACACTTACACTGCTACCGTATATATGCCTCCAAATAATTTCATCTTACCGCCTGGCCCACATTACGTCTTTATTCTGAACAATGGTACCCCATGCACAAGCGCCGTATGGGTTCTTATCGGATGGTAAAGGAAAGAACAATAGCAATGTATTATATTCATCGTTTTTACTTAATTGAACGAAACTAGATTGTTTTACATTGATAATCGTAATGCACAGCATGCATTTTATTCCACATTCCCCACTCTGTATTCTATTGATTCATAGATATTACGAATATTGCTGGTATAGCGCGTGATACAGTGTTGAATTTTAGATTAGGAAACTCCCCCGAAACTATTTTCATCTAATCTGTGTCACAAGTCAGCGATCAACTGGCATGGAATTCGATTAAAATCAGGTTTAATTACAATTTAGTTAAGACATTTAATTTAAAGGGTTGTACAAATTGAAGCCTTTCATACATTTGATTACATCAGAGTCGATTATGGAAGCAATTCTGTGCAATGCGTTTCAAAAAAGCGATTTACTAATGATGACAAAAGCTTAATTTAGAAAACGTTAAGTCACACAATGACGTAAATACGAGATTTCGGAGTTACCAGAGGAAATTGAGGCCGATATTTCTCTATTCCCATAAGATATGTTTTGGGAAGCAAATACATCGTGTCAGTAACTGTCCTCATAATAACCTAACTTTACAACAATGTTACTTTTACTGTTACTACAAATGATAACTACGCTTTTGCAAAGCTCGGAAACTACAAATGTATACTATTTTGTGAATAATTATACAAAAAAACATTGTATTTTGTTAACGTATAAAAATATCAACAACAAAAAATAGTCGTTCTAATTGGTTTGTTCGATGTCACATGATCCCCATAACAACTGCTCAGCTCGTAAGAAAAGTGTCAATAAATTTTTTTTAATAAATTTATTCAATGAACATATTCACAAACTAAGCCGGCCGTACAAAAATATTAATACTATAAGATTAAAAAAATAGGATAGACTCAATAAATTTGTTACATACGAAAGTTAATTGCAGCGCCCGCTTTAAATTATAAACAATTTTGTAAGCCGTTATGTATAAACAATACATGACCACCTTGTACTATTTTATTATCGAATGGAGACATTTCAAATTAACTAAAAATCAAAATTTTCAGTGCCCCCCTGGGTAGTAGTGGTGTACATAGGTTATTTATATTTAAGAAAATAAATGAATTAAGAAATCAATTGATACGAAGTAAAATACTTGCCAGATAATTTGGGCGGGTTGATAATTATGCTTGAAAAAGAGTCTTTTATTCAAAACCTATGGTTAAACGAGAATCCTCATTATGTATTATCGGGGCGGCATTACTATATCTGGCGAATAAGCAGGGGGCCGTATTATCTTCAGGAATGTGCATTGCTTGTGGCCACACCGCTGATAGATTAACTGAAGGTAGTTCACTTTGTTCGAGTAAACGTGAAACCAAAGAATGATAAGCAACTAAGTTATTTTGCAACCATTCACATGCATAATATAATGATGGATAGTA